CTGTTTAATGATTTGTGCTGTCTTGTGTGCTTTTGTGCTTATATACTCCATGTAAGGTTGCTCTCACGAGGACAGAAGGGAGCTCACACCAACATAAAACCACTTTTACTCATCAGAGTATGAATGTGGACTGAAACAAGATATTTATGTTGTTTGATTTACTGTAGGAAGGAGGAGTGCAGCAGAAGAATGATTTAAAAAGCCTCCACAGCTTATCTCAGGCTTACAGGGCCTAAGACTATAGACGTTTACTGCCTGTGGCTCTTGAAGCTGTTTGACTCGTACTATTCTATCAATAGGTTTTTGTTCACTTTTGTGATTGACTACAAAACATGATAATAACTTCTTTAATTTTTTCAATAACTCAACAAACAGCTTTATTTATTGCAAACATAGTGAAGAATAACAGGAGAGTTAATGAACTTTGCTTTGTTTTGAACCGTGACACCATGTAAAGCATCAACAGTGGTCAGATAAACTTAATGTAACAGCAACTCTGCTCTGGACAAATAAGACTAAGAGTCTTAGTGGCTCTTTGAGGCCGTATTTAGCCATAGGAACATCTCGAGCTGCTAACAGTGGAGTGCTATTGCTATCATCACAGTGCAGAATATTGACCATCTCCAGCTTAAGTTCATGCAGCTAATAGAAACAGTATTGATCAAATGTAAAGTTGGGCCTCATCAAATCATCAAAAACATCCCAGAGCGTGACAAGAATATCTTTTGTTTTTTTAAGTAAATGTCACGTACATGGTTGTATTGGTTGCACTGGATCCTTATCTCCAAATTAAAAGCAGCATTCAGTGGCTTTCAAGACGCTTTATGTTCAGTTCTCCTGGTGAGGAAACAGAACAAGGACATCATTCTGATTTTACGTTGTGGGCCACGTACAGTGTCATGAACACTTTGATCTTCAATCAATTCAGTGTCACTTGTATAGCACTAAATCAAAAGCAGCTGTCATCTCAGTGCAAAAGTGTGAAACTCCTCTTTGTCAGTGTAAAGACGTTTAAATACATTTAATCCGTTAGATATTTAAAGAAACAGAAGTGTAGTGTCAGGCTTAAATTATAAGAAACAAATGTGTAAAATTACTGAAAAGCTTCTGTTAGCTAATAGCCCAGGCGTTCATGTGATTATAAAACAGAAACATCTTGTTAATTAAAGGTGAGACTTTTGTTCTTTTCTTTTGGATGTATGAAGAGTCCGCCCTGGGCAGCCTGGATATAGCTGGGAAAATGACCCAGATGACGACTAAATTTAGAAAAAGACTATCACGTGACTCAGAATGCCTTTGGAGTAACCAAAATGGGCATTTCCTCCTCTGCAAGCAGGTTAATGAGGTCTGGGATGTGAATTATACACGCAGACCATCTAATTAGCTGTATTAATTAAAGCACATTTATCAGCTGTAGATTGATTAGCTACGTTGGGGACAGATGTTTTGGAAGGGATTACACTCACGAGTACTTCTCAAGTTATCTCGACTGAAATGTCCACGGACAGCTGGCAGCAAGGCTTTGCGAGATGCCAGCAGATTTCTAGATTCCTTGCAAAGGTCTAGAAGGAAAGAATGAATAAGACGGGTGAGATTGAAGGTGGCAGAGGACTGCAAGGAACAAGAGCTGATAATGTTCTTCAGTGTTGGGTTTCAAATCTAAGACACAGGCCAAATGTGTTCCTTCGCTCTTAGATAAATAAACGAGTTATCAGTGACTGTGTTTACATGAACCATACTGATGACACTTATCTTTCATTGGCCTGTAAAAAATCCTGAACACATTCACCGTGTGTGTAAGAGAACTAAATCTAAAATAATCCACATGTATCAGCTTCTGTCTGATTTCAGGCGAGACCAAAGGTCAGCTAGATTCATGGTGCTGAGGTACCATTTATAGAAAGTGCTCAGTGTGTCACAGGTGTGTGCCAACAAAGCACTTTACAGTCAGCGTCACCTACAGGCACAGACAATGCACCTGCTTTTAGCTCTATTTACTGCACCTGTGTCCAGGAGAAGCACATGTTTCAATGCGGCATTCAGTGGCCGCGCTGCAGCCCGGAGCCTTCTGTGCCTTTGAACACTAAAGCTTAACC